GTTATCCCACAATTCTTGAATATTCTGCTCATTATTTCTTACCATCTTCACTGTGTGGTCAACATTCTTTTCAAGATTATATATTTTGTCTTAATTGTCTGAGGTTCTGTTTTCCAAGTTATCTAATCTTTTGGTGATGATTTCTATTGAGCTTTTAATTTGATTTATGTTTCTTTCATTTCAAGGATTTCTTTTTTGGGATTTTTTCAAAACCTCTCTCCTTATTGAAGTAATTTTTTGCTTCCTGTATTTGCTTATGTAACAGTTTATCAAAATGATCTTTTGCTGCCTGCATTTACTCTCTTATATCATCCTTTAATTCACAGACCATTTTAGTTATGTACATCCTGAGCTTCTCCTCTGTAATTTTTTCTGTTGTACTAGCCATGGATTCTAATAATGTAATATCTTGGTTTGTTAGGGGCACTTTCTTCCTTTGTATTTTCATGTTGTTCATGGGTCTTCCCTTCTAGCACTGTGGATCTGAGGCATTACAGTTTTAACCCTAAGGCTTATAGTGTCCCTGCAGGTTTCTAAAACCTCTCCTTTAAGGGAGAGAACAGTGTGAATACATCCCAATACAAACAATATGCAGCCTTAAACCAAATAGTTGCTATTAAGATGTTTATAGTTTTGTCACAATATACAGAAATGGGAAGTTCAATTATTATCTACATTATAAACAGTAGGTTTGCACAAAGGTCTACAGTTTCTGATGGTGGACAATGAGAGAACCGGTGGTAAGGTGTAGGATGAGATGTTGAGAGGGTAGGGGGTGAGGATGTAGAGTTATTAGATCTTAGAAAGTGTGAAAGAGAAATCTAAAGAAGTTGGTTAGTAGCAGGAGAAGAGAGAGAAAGTGATTTTGGGGAGACAAGTGGAAAGACAGTAGAGTACAAAAACCAAGCAAACATAAATATTAAGAAAAGTAAAAAATGTAAAAATAGGAGATAAAAGAATATACAATACCACGGTAATACACCATTCAGACATCTCAGTCCTCAGTAGCCTAATTCATAACAAGTACTTCGTTTCACAAATGTTGGGGATGTGAGGGTGGGAGGAGAGAGAGAGGGGGGAAAAATCTCAAAAAAAGATGCAAAGATTGTTTTGTTTTTTCTTTTGGAGATCAGTATCTTTCTAGCTTCCTTTCTCACCCAATAGGTGAATGAGGATGGTAAAGTTCTTAAGGTGGGAGGGTTGTTTTGAGGGGCATAGGCCCTGGAGGTAGAGTATAGTACTTGCTGGTCCCCTATGGGAGACTGCATCCCAAGGATCTCCTTTGGGGTCCATTCGTGTGATGTGGGCACCTGGCCTTACCTTCTTATATCGCCTATAGATCTCACAATTCCTGGTCTCTAATTTAGTCTCTAAACTGTGTCTCACTCACCCCCTCCCTTTCTACTTCCCAATCAGAAACCTTTCTCTTAAGAGGTCTTGTGGGCTGCGCTCTGGGGGCTGCACACCTGTTGCAGAGTGCTGTTTTATACTGGGCAGTTCAGGACTTCGTTTTGCCAGCTAGGATCAGCTGTGTAGCCACTGACACTGTGCCAGGTTAGCAGCTGCTAGGGAGAGGGTGCAGTTGGGGATTTTGGGTAACTTGATATTGTTTCTAAGCCCCAGTCAGTATTCTAAGCTGGGAGTTGCCCCAACTAAAGATGGCGATGAAGGCATCCCAAAATGGAGGTGGCTGCTTTCAGCGATGGAGTGTCAGGTCCAGTGGGGCCAGGCAGTGGTGATGAGTAGCATATTCAGAGATGCAGCTCTGTGACATGCAGTATTGTGGCTGGTAGATGTCACAGGACCAAGTAAAGTGTCCCCAGGTGCAGGCTACCACATGTAGGGGACTGTGGCATGGTTGTAGTGCCACAAGACGGGGGGGACTGGAGGAGCCCATGTTGATAGATGGGGGTCCACACTGGAATGGCAGCCAGAATTCCCACGTGGGCTGTGGCTGGGATTCCTGCACCAGTGAGCGGCCAAGAGTCCTGCACAGGTGCTAATGCCAGTGGTCCTACTGGGGCACCCGGAGGACCTGTGTGGACCTGTAATTTTTTAATCACAGGCATATTTTGTATTCTAAAGAAGTGAGAATAATCTCTAATAATCAAAGAATGTTATCATGCTAATTTTTTATAACATAGAGGTCTTCGTCTGTCATTTTCCAAGTTTGACATTAACATAGGTATAAAAATACTTTGTTTTCAAAATATACTTCACTTTCATCTTAATAATACTGAAAATAAAACTCTCTAAAGCTGTATGCAAGGATAGACTACTCCAGCACATAAAGTGAGAAAACTGTCACTGACATCATTATTACATCAGGTCAGTAATAATAAACACAAGTTTCTGGGGGAAGGTAAGAAGGTGAGGGAAGAATTACTCCTGGGTTGGTGTGAGAGTCTCAGTAGAGTTCTAGTTTTATGTCTTAGTGTAGGTCCTCTTGGGAAAAGTTGGGAAGATAGTTGACTTCACAGACTTCCCTGCTATTTCGTAATTAGATCAAATGTAATATCTGCCTGGTGGAAAGGAATCTTTTTTTTTAGCCTCCCCAAGAACTCCTATAAACACTCCATCATTTGGAATAGAAGAGAAAGGTTTTGTTTGAGTTGCTGCACATCATGTCAGTGTCTCATACACATAGTCCAGTGACTTTCCAGCTAAATCATTATGGAATTTAATAATGTAATAGTGCTGCAATTGTGCTGACATGGGTATGAAGTTGAACAAGAAGTCATGGGTTTGGTTATTCAATTGACAACTTTTGACTAAGCACCACCTGCTTTGTGATGGCTCTGGATATGCCCTAAGACCTCAGCATCATGTAACTCCTCTACTCCATGCAGCAAAAGCATTACCTCTTCCAAGAAATCATCCTTTTCTCCCTCCAAGTCTTCCAAACTTCCCCCTCAGTCTGGGAGAGAAAACCCTTCCCAGTGCTCCCAACATATCTGTGCAAATCAAGTAGTGCTTTCTTGCCTGGCTCCTCCTCAGTCTTAAGCTGCAAGAGGACACAAGCTAGTGGAAAGCTTCTTGGCTGACCCAGGAAGAATGAACCATATGAAAGGAGAAAAAGACTAACCAAGATCTATAGGTCAGTCCAAGAAAGCAAGGTCTTTAGAGAGAATGAGAGGGGATCAAAGGTTACTTTGAATACAAAAAAAAAAAAAAAAAAGAAAGAAAGAAAAAGAAGAAGAAGAAAGAAAAAATTCACCTTCTTAGTTTGTATCCATCCCATTTATTGACTCTTGATTTTAATTCTTGTGCTATAGGAGACTTATTGAGTTGGGGCCTAATCTGACATGATGGAGATTTGGACCTACTTTTTCTTCTAATAGGAACAGTGTCTCTGGTTTAATTCCTAGGTCTTTGATCCTCTTTGAGTTAAATTTTGTGCATGGTGAGAGATAGGAGCTTAATTTCATTTTGTTGCATATGATTTCTAGTTTTCCCAGCACCATTTGTTGAAGAGGCTATCTTTTCTCCAATGTATGTTTTTGGTGCCTTTCTCTAAGACAACTGTAGTTATGTGGGTTAGTCTCTGTGTTCTCTACTCTGTACCATTGGTCTACCATTCTATTTTGGTGCCAATATGGTGCTGTTTTTGTTACTATTGCTCTCTGTAATATAATTTAAGGTCTGGTATTTGTCTAGATTTGGTCATATGTGAAAATGCCTGTGTACTCCCACAAAAATCAATATTTTTTTTAATAAAAAGCAATGGGTTTATCTTTTGACCTTGTTTCATTTGTGCAAGTAATATTTTTATTTAGGAAATATCAAGTATTGACAAAGACAAAATACTACTTCTTTACAAAAGTCATTCAAGAGGAAAAAAATGCTTCCACAGGAACAGATTCCTCTTCACACTCTCTTGTGTAATCAATAAGAAAACCAATTGAGACCAATAAGTAAAGGAGTACTACCTCAACATGTGGTCCACAAGAGGAAGACTTCTTGTGTACTGTTTGTGATCAGTAAATGCAGAAAGTGAAAATGTTTAGAAATAGCATTGATACATCGTCCCACTATAGAAGCTGGCTACTCTTATTTCAGTTGGTTAGGGGACAGTTCAGATGATGTCACATTGAGGAGTCGCAAAGGGTTGGACCTGCTTACTGGTAATGCATAAGAGACCACATGCTGGCAGGTGAGAGAGGAGGAGACTGGTCCTTTGTTGCGGATAGTTTGGGAAGCACTGACAGTAAATTATACAGTAGTTTCACAATTTTATGTTGTCGGATAATTGATATACCAATCTTCAATTTACACAAAATTCAGAAAAGTGGAAGCATCGAGTGTGTCGTATATACTTTGTATATTTTTTCAGATGGAAAACTGTAAAAACATTTCAGTTTCGTGACTATCAAACTTGTCTGGCTAGGCCAACTTTGGCGTTCACCGCTCATCCTAGGGAGAGCCCTGCCATCTCGTGGTGGAAGCTGTTAGGTGTAACAGAGAAGCGCTTATCAGTTCTGACTGCAAAAATACTTCTTTCAGTCCTTTTTTGAGGTCTTAGAGTTTGTGTGTTTCTCTCTCTCTCTCTCTCTCTCTCTCACACACACACACACACACACACACACACCCCTTCCCGTTAAATCTATTTTAAACTTAAAATTCTATTTTATAACGCAATGGACTTTGGAGAAAGGAAAGAAAACTGGATTACTACTCTTTACACGGCGCAAATGTCTTGTTCGTGGTAAATGCCCAATCGCTGCCGTACGGGTGCATTTTGAATAACCCACTTTCTACATGGTAAGAGGGATGTTGGGAGATTTGAACCCCTCCAGAAGGAACCAAACATTCTCACAAGACAAAGAAGGACTGAAGTGAATCTGTTGATTTGAACATGCTAATTTTTCTGGCGCTTGAAGGCAAAGAAAGTCTCAGCGCATCCCGGAAGTAGTCATTCCGAGAGAGGGGCGGGCCGTGCCGGTAAACCACAACTCCCAGCATGCCCCGGGGCAGGCCGACGGCTGCGCAGAAGCGCGCGCGGGCGCTCACGGAACTTCAGCATGGCGGTGTTTGCAGATTTGGACATAAGAGCGGGTTCCGACCTGAAGGCTCTGCGCGGACTCGTGGAGACTGCCGCTCATCGTGAGTCTCCCTGGCCTCGCGGGTCGCAGCGCCTACCCCTCGCTCGATAGTTCTGCCAGTTCTCGTTCAGATCTCCTGGGGTCTCTGGGATGTCACTAGAAGCTGATGCTGTTACCCTAATCCCTGGTGTGGGAAACTCAAAAGATTCTAGAGGAATTTTAAGCAGTCCTGTTCCTTTTTTATTTTTTTTTTTTTTTTTGTAATATTGAGGGAACAGGCCCAAGGAGGACAAGGGATTTTCGTAGGGCCCCATAGCTGAAGTGTGGCAGATGCCAGGGCTGGACTCCTAATGTGCTTTTAATCAGTCCTTTCTGACTCTCAGTAAAGAGTCTAAGCAAGTTCTGGAGACTGGGGCACAGTCAGGGAGTATGGAGAGTCAGAGAATGGAGAGGACATAGGAGTTTTTAAAATTTGGAACAGTAATACTTAAGAGGGATGGTAGATTGGGCACAGGACATACGTGACAGGAGAGAATGGGAAACATGGCTAGAATGTCAGTGTTATTCATGTTTGAGTCAAAGGGAAGCTAAAGCCCAAGAAATGAGACTCTGTTTTAATTATTATAGTTTATCACGGGTTTTATCTCTCTTAGACTGTAAAGTATGGGTATAGAGGAGATCAAAGAATAAAGAGGTTGGTGCAATAACATCCATTCCTAAGAGAACAGTCTCAGGTCCTTGTGAGAGCTGATTATTGCTATTTCTCAGAAGTGACGCTAGAAACCATCACAATCCTCCTGTGTAGTGTAAGTCATCTTTAGATTGCTTATAATAATTAATATGATGCAAATGCTGGGTAAATAGTTGGTATATGCATTGGTTAGGACATAATTATAAGGGGGAAAAGTCTGCATAGTACAGTCACAGCCCATTACCTACCCCACCCCACCACCCCCTGAAAAATATTTTCTGACCATGGTTGGTTGAATCCGAAGATTCAACTGTATCCACAGAAAAAGGACTCTTTCAATTGCAGCTATTAATTAACATTTCCTCTCTGTACTTTGCTCATCAGTAGAATGAAGAGGGTAGACATAATTCCTGGAACCATTTAGCACTAATATTTTTTTTAGCAGTTTCTATAAAATAAATTTTCCTGGATGTAACTTCAAGTATTACCTTCTCAATGAATCTTCCTAATGTTGTCCCCTTAATGAATACATGAGCTTCTTTAGAAATGGACCATGTATTCTTCTGTTACCTTATGCCCAATATAGTCAATCAGCAGGTAGTGGTACATGACAGTTACTCAGTTAATGAGTGGAGTAAGCAAACTGAACATCTTTTTAAAAATACACACAGAAAAGAAACATTATAATGATTTCTTTAGAGAATCACCCAGTTTAAAATATGCTTGAAAGACATGTCATTTATGTGCAGTATTAGTCATTCTCTATTTCTTTTTTATTTTTAATGCTTTTATTATTGTCTTATATATTACAGTGGGGTTTATTTTGACATCATTATAAATGCATAAAATATAATTTGCTCCATATTAATCTTCAGTACTTCTGCTTTTCCTTCCTTTTTCCTCCCCTGATATACTTCCTGTACTCTGTTGGTCTTCCTTCTATTTATTTAATGTTTCTTTTCTTTGGGGGGGGGGTGCCATTATAGTTATTCATAAAAGTGGAGTTCATCATGATATATTCATATGTGCACATTTCCTCCCTTTTCTAATCCCTCCTTTCTCACTTTTGATCTCCTTCCTTGACTCCACTGTTCTCCCTTCTATCTTCTTGAGATCCCCCTTTTAAATTTCTAGCTCCCTCATATAATAGTAGTTTATTTAAAAATGAAATGAAAGGCTGGATGCGGTGGTGCATCCTGTAATCCCAGTGGCTCAGGAGGCTGAGGCTGGAGGATCACAAGGTCAAAGCCAGCCTGAACAACTTAGTGAGACCCTGTCTCAAATTAAAAAGGGTTGGACCTGGGTTCAATCCCTGATACCTGGAAAAAAATATGAAATACAAGGTCATTTCAACTTATGGGTCAAAAGGCAAAAGACTATGTTTTAGTCTGTGGAAATTTTTAAACCCTAAAGAAGACAAAGCCCCTATTTTTAGTTTATGATGTTATATAAGAAACCAGAGATAAGCTTCAGATATAAGATATATGAATTTAAGAAAATACACCAAAGACTGATTGGGGAATTACTCCTAAGATGCCAGATGAAGAGTACTTTAGGAGAAAGTTTTGTGGGAAAACAGTTTTCTTGACATTTCTGAAAAACAAGGACATTGTTTAATAACCAAATGATATCCTAAATGGTATAAAAAATTTTAGCATAGACTTGGGAGTGGTAAAGAAGAATGGGAAGGAAGTATGGTTGGTTGATTTGACTGGGTGAAAAGCAAAGACCAAAGTATAGGAATATTTTTGTTTTTAAATATTGCTTTCTCCAGGGGCTCTTTTCTGCCCCCACCCTGCAACCATGTTTCATTCTGCTGGGTTTTCCATAGAACCTTTCCTTAATGACAACAAAAAATTATTTACATATGATGACTTGTTTAATTGCCTTAATTCTCCAATGAAACATAGGATGAGAACTGTTTTATTTACCTTGTGTGCTCAGTGCTTGGCTTAGGGCCTGTCAAGTAGTGAAGGCTCCATAAATATGTGAAGGAGGAAGGAAAGAAGGAAGTTAGACAAACTGATGATAGGAAGACCACAATTTGGCATCACCATGCATTATTTTGAATATTAATAACTTGTCATCCCATTGGTTTAGATAACTTAAAGATTAGAGTTATGATTTAGATGCATCTTAAGTAGACCAAATGTCCAGAGCAATGTTAACTGTGAGGAGGAAGGTAAAGCAAGCTGCTGGCCTCAAAGAATTCCCAATCTGCTGATGGTAGGCAGCTGAAAAGGAGAAGTGGGTGGTGGTGTGATGAAGTCATCACTCCCATCTGTCCTTAGGAGAGGGAGGAAATAGGGTGAAAAGCAAAAGAAATGAATGATACTAAAGGTAATAGTGAAAGGTGTTAACTTGGTGTGATGAAAATGAACATAGGGACATGAAAGAGAGTGTTGATTAGAAAGAGCACAAAGTTAAAAGGCTTTAGTATCATGCCACCAATACGTCATAGTAGTGAAAGCCCTGACTATGTGACTAGCAGTGTTATAAAATACTTTTTGTATATTATCTCATTTAATTCTTATGATCAGCATATGAAATGAGTGCTGTTATTATCACTGTTTGACAGATGAAGAACCGAAACTACAATTAAGTAACTTATAAGAGGTAGTGCTTAGATTTGAAAGGAGACAGCTTAGATTTGAAAGGAGACAAAGTTCCCACCATAACTGCTTTGCTAAACTGCCTCCTTTTCTTTTCCTTTTTTGTTTTTTTATTTCCCAGTACTGAGATTCAAACCTGTGTGTCTGACCATGTGTTTGTGTTGCATAAATGAAGAGCTAATAGATGTTTCAAGGCAGTTTTTCATGTAAACTTATACAAGTTGAGAATCCCTCATCAAAAATGCTTGTAACCAGAGTGTTTTCAATTTGAGAGGTTTTCAGATTTTGAAATATTTGCATAGGCTTTACCAACAATCAAAAAGTTTTAGATTTTGGATTAGGGATACTCAACCTATATTCTCTTCTCTTTTGTCCTCAGCTCTCAACCCCCATACCCTCTTAAAGAGCACAATGAATGGCATTATGCTTTTAAACTGTGACCCTCTCTCCCATTTCTACCTTCCAGCAGTAGTTCAGCATGTATAAACCCATCACCTACAACACGGACCTGCTCACAGAAGATACCAACTTCTTTGTGATCAAGTTGGATCCCAGCAAAGTGTTTAAGAGCACTCCTAGTCTTGGCATAGAACCAGAATGGGCCTGTATGTATAGGAAAGAAAATACTTAAGTATTTCTGTTTTTCTTTTCAGTTGGATATTCAGTTGTTGCCATCAATCATGTTGTTGACTTTAAGGAAAAAAAACAGGTAAAATAAGATTTCTGAAGTTAGTAAGTTAGGAGATATTATTTATGTTCATCCTGGAATCATGGAAGCTGCAGATAAGCATTTGTCTTAAATGTACTGTCTTTGTGTACTATTATTTTATGTTAATAGTTGAGCTGATGTTTATTTGTATAAAATGATTGAGATTTTTGTGAAGTATTTTGCCATGGTGTAAGTACACAAAGTTGATTTGATGTTATTTAAGTCACTGTCAATAATGTTTAAAAGTGCACTGTTATCAACTAAACTGTTATTACAATATTTTATCTTTTATTGTCTTAAATTCTTAAGCACATTAGTAAATGTATATTTCTCTTTAGGCCAACAACTTTATCTTATAGATTACTTCTGCCTAAAAATTAGTTTTTGTCCCTTTTATTCACTGATGTTCTTAGCTGCTTCTCTGATCTTTTGTTTCCTTCCTTAAAAAAAAGAAGAGGTTATGTAGTCTCCTGAATACAAGAAATTAGCTTTCTTTCTTTAAAACAATGTATGTGAACCCCATGTCAAGTTTTCCATTTTGCATTGTACCTTTAACATGTACAATCTAAGATGACTGTTTGTCATTTGTTTTAGGAAATTGAGAAACCCATAGCTATTTCTGACCTCTTCCCAACTTTCCCAATTGTACAGGTAGGTTTTTTGTTGTTTAAGAAGTATAATATCCTGAAATAATCTTTTACTATTGATTTGGTACTTCTTTCTTCGTTAATCTTCCTTCCTAAAGTCCTACAACTTTTAAATTATCTCATTATATAGTTAGATATGCATACATCATATTTTTATCTTTCTGAATTATAAACTCAGAGAACTAGGCTTTATTGATCTTTTCTATTCCTTATAGCTAGTCCCTTTTAATGAGTTCTTTCTGCTGGTAAAGAGGAAAATCAGTTTTATTTTTATGCTTTTGATATTTTTATTTATAGGGAAAATCAAGACCAATTAAAATTTTAACGAGATTGACAATTATAGTTACTGATCCATCTCACTGCAATGTTTTGGTAAGTTAATTATTTTTTCCTTTTCTTTTGGCCTTGTAACCTGTATTGAATGGTAAACATTGTTGCATTTCATCTCACCCCATTTTTACATCTCCCCACCACATTCATGACACTTACCTGCTTTCCTTATTCTTAGAATTCACACAGTATAACATGTTATATGTTACTTGTGGTGAATGTGTAAAGATAACACAATTAAGAATTCCATGTCAACTATTAGTCATTGAACTCATCATATGAACCAGACATAAAGTGGGTGCTGGGAATATTGCTGTGAATAACACAGACATGGTCCTTGAACTTATAAAGCTTATAAGTTTAATTGATAAGCACTGAACAATTAATTATTTCAGACGTGAGGAATACCTTTAAAGGGGAAGTGGCAAATAAAGGATGCTCTGGGAGTATATAACCTTAATAACTTATTCAAACTGAGGCCAGAAGAATCAGTAAGGGTTACCTAGGAGCCAAGCAAGAAAGTGTGTTTCTGCAGACAGCATACAAATGCCCTAAAACAAAGGAAAACTGTGTTCTAGGAAGTGAGAAAAGACCTGAAGGACTGAGCCTTGTGAGCTGGCTACCTCCTAACAGGAGGCAGGGAGGTACAATGCAAACAGGCAGGGAGGCTTAGGTGACGATTCCAAGAACAGTGGGAAGTCCTTGAAGCCTTTAACCAAGGGAACAAGATTATGGGGTTTGCTTTACAGAGAATATATTAGAGGAAGTAAAGGAGGGGGGAATTTGAGAGGCATGAAGGAGGGAGGATTGAGACTCCCTGCTAAGAGTGTGATATGGGAAGAAGAGATCTAGAACAGTCCTGAGGAACTTCACCATTTAATAGTGAAACAGGATGAACCAAGATTGAAGTTGGAAAAGGAACTACCCTAGAAGTAGGAAGCAATGAGGAAAGAAAATGGAAAGTAGGAACAAAAGGTGAGTAGGTAGCATCAATATATCAGAGTAGTCAAGCAGGAGAAGGGCTTAAAAAAAGTCAGTTGGATTTATTCATGAGAAAGTCATTGGCAGTCTTAGCAGAAACCATTTCCATCAATATGATTGAGATAGAAGAAAATACAAATAGTGTGTGCTGCTGACTTTGCATAGGAATTTGACCCCTTTATATATATATAAAGATTTTGTTAAATGGGAGAGATTCATGTGATAAGAAAGATCATCACGTGTGAGAGAGAGAAAATGAATCCCTGAGAAGGTGAGCTGTTTTATCTTTAGCAAGAACTGACACTTCCATGGTGGAACAGGAATGATGAAGGACAGACCGACTCACTTTATAACACTTGACAAAAGAACTTGTGAGAAGCCCAGTTTTGATATTTTATACAGCTATAAGGTAACATTTTGGTTCTCTAGGTCCAGATGGACATAAATAGAACTGACTTTTGATAGGACAGGAAGACTTTGATTTACTCTTGTTATCATGAACATCCTAGTGGCTCCTTTTTGTCCCCCATCCCAAGTGGAAATGGGCAAGTGGAGAAGAGAATCCTGATCCTAGCTTTTTCCAGAACCTTTAACCTGCCCTATCTTAGCCCAAGTTTGTCCAGTATGCCCTCTTACCTGCTTAAGCAAGGCACTGGCTGCTTCTCTTAAACTTTGGTCTAACTTGTATTATGCTTTGCCTTTTCATGAAGAAGAGGTTGTAAAATTTTAAAAGGTACCAACATACAAAGAAGAGCTATCACACTTTATTCTAGCATTCAAAGATTGTACATTTGAATATATATTTTCCAATCTTTTCACGTTTAGATACATACATTATAGGTTTGAGACTTTCTTTTATAAACAATAATGCTGTCTTTACTGATGTATTCTCCTGTCCTAGAACTCTCAGGTGTTTATTTGTATTTATATTTTTTGATGCTATTCTTTTTGTATCACATACATTGCATAGTACACATGAACTTAGTCTTGTATATTTTTTGTCTTGGGAAAAAAAAGGTGAATTCCATTGAGGACAAATTTATGTCCTAGTGATTTTGTATCCACATAGTAGGTGCTCAGTGAATGTCTGGCAAGCTCATTCACTAGATTGTAAGATCAAATAGTGGATACAGTGCTGTATGTCAGACACAATGTTTGGTCTACAGATAGGGAAGACCACAATTTAGCATTGCTGTGCCTTATTTTGAATATTAATAACTTGTCAGATAACTTAAAGATTAGAGTTATGATTTAGATTCATCTTTAATAAACCAAATGTCCAAAGCAATGTTAACTGGTGTACATTTAAAGCATAACAAGTGTAAGAAGGAGGAGGATGATTAGTAGGTTAGGTGTTAGTACCTAATTCTCATGTGCTTTTCTGCCAACATACAAAGCAAAACAGAAAAATCAGTAGCACATTAGAAGTGTTATGTGATTGAAATGTAAGTGTAGCTAGATCACTGTGCAGAATTCCATGTATGTATATTTTTTGTTACTGTATTAATAACATTCTTCTGTCACTAGAGGGCTACTTCTTCAAGAGTCCGGCTGTATGATATTGTTGCAGTTTTTCCAAAGACAGAAAAACTATTTCATGTAAGTAACAATTAAGTAAAAGAAACGAATTCCATTTAACAAATTTGATATATGCCTTTGCAGGTGACATGTTTTATCCTATCTGAAAACTGTTAGGATTTTTCATTTACAGTTGAGCTCTAGAATTTCAGAGGTATATTTGAGGGGATGTGTGGTTTTTTGTTTTGTGTGTTGTTTTATCTAGACAGTTTATGGGCTCAGTTTGAAAGAGCCCATCGAGTTTTTCCCTGTTGATTTTTTTTTTTTTTTGTACCAGGGATTGAACCCAGGGGCACTTAATCCCTGAGCCACATTCCAAGCCCTTTTTATTTTTTATTTTGAGACAAAGTCTCACTAAGTTGCTTAGGGCCTCTCTAAGTTGCTGATACTTGCCTTGAACTTGAGATCCTCCTGCCTCAGCCTCTCCCGTTGCTGGGATTATAGGCATGTGACATCATGACTGACTCTCCTGTTTCTTTCTTTTTGCTACATTCATTCAAAACTTCTCTTGGATAAATATTGGTCCATCACCCTCTAGCTCTAAAATCACTTGAGTTTCTGCCCTTCTTATTCAACTGTTGCCGAAAATGGAAGAAAAGGACATGAAAGCTACACCCTCTGTTTCAGCTTCTACCTTTGCATGCTCTGAGGTTCTGCCCATATGCCAGTATGATTGTCAGCCTTTAGTCTTCCAGAAATTCTTCATAATCTATCATCTGCTAATATGATTTCTTTTGCTATTCTGAGAGCCTTTATGAATTGAATTCCTTTTGACTTTTAAAATTGCCATTTTGGTACCTTTGCAGGAAAGAAAGGAGCTTAACATGTATACTCATTTTGTCAACTTGAGATAGATGACCCTGGGCATTTTCAATTATTATAGTAAAGGAAAAAAAATCAACTGTAATGTCGTTTTTCAGGAATATGTTTCAATGTGTAAAATGAGGTATAACTATTTTTAGAAAGTTTTGAAAGTTATCTTTATCTATGCTCAAAAAAGAATCCATCTGCCAGAGGTATATCTGCCAAAGGGGGAAAAAAAATACTGGTCTTAGATGTTTTAATTTTACCTCTGTTCTTTTTTAAGCAAAATTTGTTCTAAAATTGTAATTTTGTTGTTGTTTGTCTTAACTTTATCTAGTAGATGGAGCTATTGACTAGAGTCTGATGTGTGATAGGTTTAGTTTTTAAGGAACACTGTGAATTCTTAATTATATAAATGGAGGGAAACACCAAAACTTATCCATAGATACCTATTCTCTTTTGGTAGCATTTTTATAAAATGCAAAATTATAGTAATTCTCAATAACTTTGTTTCAGTTAAAGGGATGAGTAGAGTAGTTTTTAGACATCAAAGATCTCTATGGAAGTTTTAAATCAGTCATGTTTCATCCTTACCAGTAGGTTTACAGTTGAGTCTGGATATTTGATTTTTCAGGTTCCACAAGTAAAGTGTGATTCATTACTGAAATCACTGTATAAAGAGGACCATGGACTTTGCAAAATTGTTAAGCAACTGCAACTTAGTTTTGCTATTAAGTAGTAACTCAGCCATGGCATAGACTAAAAAAGTTGATCATATACCATGTTTTTTGTTTTATAATTGATTTCTGAATTAATTTTGAAGATCATATAATTTATGTTTCCATGACCCTTTACTAGTGATTAGGGAAACAAAATAAGTAACATTTTGGCTAGAAAAAATGTACTTATAGAACCTTCCAAAGACTTTTATGTGTTTATTTCTTTAACTTATGCAGCAATCTCAGGATAATTAGGCTGAGTATTTACTACTATCCCCTTTTTATAGAAGTGAAAACTGAGACTTAAGCTAAATGATTTGCTATAAATACCCCAGCAAGTATGTAATAGAGGTAGGACTTAGATTTTAGATTATAAATATATATGGCAGTTTTAACTTATTCATTTATCTTATTACTTTTTTTTTCTCAGACTATTCAAATTTGAACTTGCTGAAAAAATGCTTTATGGTGATAGATGGAACAGTCAGAAATATTTTGGAAATGGAAGATATATATAAAATATAAAAAATTCACACAGTAATTGTTTGGAATTGACTGATATTCCAAAAGTTACATGAGAACAGTTTTTAAAATTGGAATATCTCCATGTAAATCATACCCATTCTTCAGTTGAAGTTAGAATTCTTCCTATTTCCTGGAGAAAATAATTTAAAAAGATATCTTCCTTCTCATTATAAAGGTTTTGTTAAGTTTTTCATGGTTTATAGTCAGGTCAGGTGCAAGCAGTATGTTGTTTGATAGGTTGCTTTCCATAAGTGATTTGTTTTGTTTGCAAGTTTATTACCCAGAATTTTAATGGATATTCAGATAGGTTTGATATTCTAAAAGTTAGGTCTCTAATATGAGTCATAAAGTGTTTAGATTTTATACTAGAAAGTATTGATATATATGTGTACTTGTATATGTACATTTAATAAGTAATTACTTATTAAGTAATTAAAAATAAATAAAAATGTATATATACAAGTACACGTATACATCAATATTTTCTGGTATAAAATCTAAACACTTTAAATAGCATCATTTCCACAGGAAATAGCATACTGTTTTCCACAGCATGGAAGATGTCTCATAAAAAAGAAACTCTGTTCCCTTAGCTTCTCCAGGGGATAAGGCAAAGATTAAAGATCATCACAGAGAGTGGATCTACTGGCCATGCCTCCTTGGGATCAGGGACAACCGTGGAATATTACAGAGAGATAGAGAGTTGCCAGGTACGTTTAGGAGCTTCCAAGTCATTTATTCCCATTTAAGATTAAAGTAACTGAGCAGGATAGAGGAAAACTCAGGTTATTTACTCCAGTAGACTCTGAACTGCTTAGATTAGGCACCCTATCAGTTTAAAGAAATATTGAGCCTACTTTTCCAGTATGTGTCTGTTTCTTGAAAGTATTTCATGTTCCATTATGCCAGTGCGCTTTGCAAAATATACATATAAAACAAATTTTAGGAAAGTGAATTAAGAAATAAATGAAAATAGAACTACTGTTTTTTTCTCTGCTCCTCAAATCTATGCCTTCTCTTTGCAGGGCACTGTTATAGAGTAACATTCAAGGCCATTTTCTCAGGATATGGTCTTCTAGCTTCAGATTTTCCTGTGATATTTGTTAAAATGCATATCGTTAGGCTCAACTTATTGAATGAATCATGGGAGATGGGGGCCTGGTAATCTTCACTTTTAGTACATTTTTTAAGGGGAGTTTTGTGACCTCTAACATTGAGAACCACTGTTCATGATCATCTCTTTTCCTTTGTAAGCCTGACTCTCCCTGGTATACTGTTAATCAAAAATTCCAAAGTATATTATCCCAACATCCATGAAAGAAGCTTAGGGGCTACAGTGCACTACGAACCCCTACCCTCCTATTCCCTTTGTGTCATAAAGGCAAAGATGTATGTATTTTTATGGAAATATGTTTTCTTTGTTGTAGGAGTCCCTGGTGCACGTGCATGTGTGCACAAACACACAAAATGTATATGTATGTGTATACACACACACACACACACACACACTTCACATATATGTATGTGGCTAATTAATATGAATTCATATGTAATCTATCATTTTTCAGAGAAAGCTATTAGAAGATTCTTTTTTTATCATTTATTTTATTTTTTTTT